TGATTATTATTCTCATAAACCAGGAAATTAAAATTTTGGCATCGGCTAGCCGGTCGGCTAAGCCGATCGGTCGGCTATTATCGGCTACGGCTATAGCCGGTTATAGCCGTAGCCGATTCCATCCCTATACCAGAAGTTTACACTCAACATCAACTTACGCCCAGTGTCGAGAGCTATTCATACCTGACACCAGAAGTTTATACTCAGCATCAACTCATCCACGGTACTACACCAAGTAATTTGGGCAGATTATACCCAGCATCGGGGACTGCTGAAGTATTTCAAAATAGGTTCATTAATCAACCCTTCTCAAATCCTTTCTTTCTTCCTCTTGCCCACGAAGAACCTATGTTAAATATTGATCCTTCAGCTATTAATGATTCTTCAACTATTAATGATTCTTCAACTATTAATGATCCTTCAACTATTAATTTGACGTTATTATCTAACCCTTTTAATTATTCCCGCTCCGAATAAAATATGCAAGCATGTGATTGTTGGAACTATTGGTCATATATAATTTTTTTTCTTTCGATTGATATATTCTTGTCGTACTTATTTTTGCTATATTTTCTTTTTTGTTACATTCTTTTTTGATGCATTCACATTTTTTGTATATTCGATACATTTTTTCTTTGTTATATTCTTCTTTTGATACAATAAAGAAGTTGTCAGTTCAATTGTCCGAAGCGTAGCGGAGGACCTATATTTCTACACCAAACCATGCAATGTCCGTTAGCAATATCCAATCATATTTTCAAATAATGTTACACAACATATGTTTGCATATAATAGATTAAATAGCCCACTGGTACCCTTATTGCTTCGGACATTTATCAGTTTCTGATATCCTAGTTTATAAGCATCATTTCACAAATTCTCTAGTATTTGAAGGATCTTCACGTGAAATTTCAAGGGTGGTTAAAAATAAAACTCAAAAGAATCATGACCATTAAATTAGCCAATTTTTTTACGTTTTTATTTGTATATGATCGACATTTTGCATTCGGATATCACATTGGTTAATTAAACATTATTTAAATACATAAATAATAATATCAAATAATATTAGGTGGGAAAATAAATTATTGTCAATGACGATTGTGATCTATTGACGTTTCTTTAATAGATCATTTAATAGATCAGTTGGTGAAATAAAAGAGAAAGAACATAATGCAACGAAAATCACTTTCTTTCGTAGATAAGTTTGTCCGTGCCAAGATTTTCTTTGGATTTTCTTTGGGATAGTCGAAATTTATATTTAATCATTGCAAAATGCATTGTATAATATTTTGTAAATATTGTGATTTTGCTATATGCTTAAAGCCACATGGGATGAGTTGTCCATACGGTAAATTTTTACCGGGCGATCCGATGTAGATCACTAATTCGTATATTATTAATGGAGTAACAAACATCGACGATCTTTTAGACATATATTGAATCGTGATCTTAGTTAACCAATCAAATCGAAGCATTACAAATGTGAAAGTTTAATAAATTTGTGATTGGTTCTTTAAAATTTTACTTATAATATATTTGATATATTTGATATGTACATATGTACGTACGTTGTGAAAGGCAAATCCGCCCTTCAATACAAGAATATACTTCAACACTAATACAAACTAACTAAACTACTCTAACCAGAACACTACAACTAATAC